CCAGATGCGAACACCAAGGGAGTTACACCACTGTGACTGCAAAAAAATAAAGGAACGTACGTGGCTTTTTCAGACACCCTGCAATCACGAAGCCATTCTCCCTTGTTCAGTCATTTCAAAGCCAGCATAACCTTCACAAATGGTTTGCATGCACACACACAAAACCCATTCTGTGCCGGGGTAGTGTTCAAAAGAGCAACATCATTACATGCTTTATCAAATCAATATTTAACTTCTCATGGTACAGTACATGTAAATTCTGCAGACTGAATCTATTTGTGTAAATTGGGAAAAATAGAGAAAGAGATAGCACACAGCCTGAGGGGAACCCTCATTATCACAGCTTTACTGATACTATTGGTAGCACCAGCAAGAGACTTTCTCCTGTTCACAAGGTGATAACTTTGAGGACCTTGATTAATGTGCATTACTCAGGCAGAGGAATTCAAATCTTTCCAGCACCTTCTGAGATGTGGAGGAGTTTGATAAGTAGCTGGAAGGCATGAAAATTCCTATCTGAACTTATTAATGCACACTAGAAAAAATACTTTTTAAACAGCAAAATCTAAAATGTATATGTACCACAGCTGAGCTTATCTCCTAAATGGTTCCAAGGGAGGGAATGGACTCATTTCTTCTACCCACCCTGATGGCAAAAGAGGATAGTTGCAGTACAGTGCCTACTTTTCATATCAACACCCCCAATCTGCTGAGTGAAGTATGGGGATTTGAGTACCTCCACAGAAACAGTAGTTATATTACCCCATGACAGGAAGGATATTATGTTGATTTTAATGAGTACGTTTGGCATTAATACCTTGGGGTATAGAATTATCCATGCATCAGGCATGAAAACAAATTAAAAAAAAAAAAAAACAAACTACCACAAAAAAAAAAAAAACCAAAAAAACCCCACCCAAATTATCCATGCATCAGGCAAAAAAAAAAAAAAAAAAAAAAAAAAAACAAACTACCACAAAAAAAAAAACAACCAAAAAAATCCCAACCCAAAACAAACAAAAACTTTGAAGAATCTTTTTCATATCCATCACCTCTCTCAGTAATTGCTTTATATGAAGTGAAAGACACCAGAGTTTGAGACCATCCTTAAACAACTACATTGAAGGCAATTATATTTTTATCCCAGGAACAAGCTCTACTCTAGAGTACACATGTAACGCCGTATTATATACTTTCATACCTACACTGCACTTGTTTTATTCAAGTAAACCTCTGGAGGGCCTGATGCAACATTTCTAGGGCCAGCTGCAGCCCAAGATCAGGCTCAGATGTAGAACAGAGATGTTTTTATTTCTTACTACTTTTAAGCACCAGAAAGCTCTTTCTCCTAATAGGACTTGCTGCTGTTTAATAATTAACTGAAACTATTCTGGACACAGCTCCAATAATAAATACTGAGATAGTCAAAATGCCTGTGAAGGTTTTCTGTGATGAGTCTGCCTTATAATTATGAATCTGGACTTTGCACAGTATATTTAATACTGGAGAAGCTTAAATATATACATTTATTTAAATGTCTAATTATTTAGCACTATTTTCACACTTGAGTATCTCAACTCTGATAACTTGATAGGGGTTTTTTGTTGTTTTGGTTTTGGTTTTTTTTGTTTGGTGTTTGTGTATGTGTTTGGTTTGTTTTGTGTTTTTTTAAAATTCCAGTGTGTACTTATGAGGTAAAGACTCAGATCACTATAGTGGTTTCCACTGTGTACCTGGTGAGTTAATAAACAGACGGTGCAATTATAGTGACAAGTATCATACCAGAAAAGACCTAGAGAAAAAATAGTAAGCAACTCTGAGAACAAACAAACAAACAAACAACAAACTCTGGTGTCACTGAGGGCATCAGCTTCTCGCATCTAAAAACCTTAAAAAAAAAGAGTGACTGATAAAAGACGAGCTGTCCCAAATATCACAAGAATGACAGAAAGCCACTCAGTTAAGAGACAGACTGTTTTTCATCACTGTTGACTAACTGAACACTTTGAAAATCAACTAAGACAAAACTGAAGAGAACTTGAACATACCCTTGGAGGTCTATAGAGGGGCTTTACTGAGTACTCCCTACCCCTGTAGTAGCAGAACAGACCCTAAGAAAATGCCATAAACCTTAAAAGAATTTGCATCAGGTAGCAACAACACAATTTTAAGGGACTTCCTGAAAGTGAAAACCTCACAAAAACTGGCTCCTGAAAAATAGGTTAGAGATACTGTAATATTCACTCTTTATCAGCTCCCACAGATTCCCACTATGTATTGAGTAATTAATTTAGGCATCCAGAATATCTGAATGGGATCAGGAAATAAAAAAGAATTGCAAACAAACCTCCGTACACGCACACAGAGTTTAAAATGTTATTCACAACCTTACATAATGTGACAGGTGTCCTGAAAGGACACTATCATTAATACATACCTTAAATTATAAGATTCCAGCCAATTTCCACAGTATTTTAAACAATCTTTACACAAGCAAAACCTACATTTAGTTCAGAATATGAGTAACTGCCACGCAGCTTTTACTGAAAAGAAAATTACAGAGAAGCAGCATTCCATTCGCATGCGATCAGTATAGCAAGATGTAGAATCTCTGGGTTTTTTGAAAACCACCCTGTACAAAATTGTATTAAATTACTATATGTGCAACAGTGAGAGATAAGAAATAGAGAAGAGCTATTTCCACTAGAGCACCAAAGGATGGTAAGGTGTACAGAAGGAAATGATAGGTTTCCCTGGCTTGACTATTATGATTCTAAAGTGCAAAGAGAAGAATAAATGTATTGTCATTTATACAAGCCTTGCAGCAGTCAGAAGACAGACGGGTATTAGCATAGACAGCAAACAGCTCTACAGAAAAGCATTTTCACAGTACTACAAAGGTATCTCCTGCCACTAAATATACTGTAATAATTTGAAACCAATAAAGTCATGATCTTTTGTATAAGATTTCCACTAATTACTTTACAATAATATACTGTTCTTAGTAAAGATGTCCACATAGACAAGTAAGGTGAGGACTTGGTGGGGGGCAGAAGGTGGTGCGTGTTTAATTTCATTGTCATTTCATTTGCTGAAATAGGTATCTATTATTCCAATTTAGGGTGTAGAAGTATGTGTATTTCAAAGCAAAATCTCTCTTTCTGTATCTATCAAATATTATCATTTAATATTGAGAAATGTAAATTACTCTTTCCTTTCTCAATACTACAATAAAACATCTTATGCATAAGGAAGCAAATCTTTTTATTAAAAAGATACACAGATACACTTATAAACCTTAACCTTTGTTGAAGAAATCCGCTATGATTTTATGTTCAACTGATCAAGAAAAAGCACGTGAAAAGCAGAGTATTATCTTGGATTTAGTGGGTTTAGGGGCAGGACTATCAATTGAGCAAAACATCAATTACAGACTAATTTAATGTATACCCAAGTACATTATTGCAATTCAATAAACATCTCTTCAGAATTAAACAATTCCAATTTGCTTTCATTTCAGCTTGTCTGCATTCATTACAAATTTGCTATTTATGCACAGTAAAATTAGTCATCCTGTTTGGAAGCACTCATCCATGCAATCCCAGCGTGTCACAGTGCTGCATCAAACTAACCTCATATGAACCACTTAACCTTACCTGCTTACTAAACAGGAGCAAAGAGCAGAGGAGTGTACCTTCCCATAACAATATTACTCTCCTAAAATTTCTTCTAGCTAGGTGTCTGCCCAAGTAATCCAGCAATGAATCTGTCAACTTCTCTCCTGGTGGACATCCAACCATTCATGTTTATAACTTATTCTTCTGGTTTTTTTTTCCTTCTCATATTGTTGAACATGAAAGTGTCAGGCACCTACTCAACCTTGCATATTCTGATACTTGGTTGCTCTGGAAGAGTGCCTTCCCTCTATTTAGCTATGATACAATACTAGATATGCTACTCCTGGCAACTCAGTTCCATTTTAATCATTAATTCATTCCTCTGGATTTGAACAATGCAAGATCACCGAGTGGGAATTGAAAGCACCTGGGATCTAACAGGAGCATTCTCTCTTTACAGTCTGTGTAGCCTGAATATCTGTACCATGCAACACTATATTTAAGGCATTGTGGAGGCATCAGTATACTCATCATGAAATGACAGAGTAAGTTGGCAGAAAGTACTGCAGTGGACATAAAGTGATCTCATTTCTACAGCAGCCCTCCATTTTGACAGAAAAGTGAAACATTCAGATCAATGAAATGATACTCTGTGAGCAGACCCATACTCCTCCCATTTGACATCCCCCCCACCCCAAACACACAATGTCTCAGGAGCAACTTTGCCACTTTCTGGTCGCTCCGCCTAAGAGCCAGTAAGCATCCCTGTGGTGCAGCTCCAGGTAAGTTAAAAAAAAAAAAAAAAAAAGCAGCACAGTAAATAGCACTTCACTGCGTGTCTCGTGGAGGCAAGATTAAGACACATCTTGCATGTGTCAGGCACGGTATCGGCTCTTGAATCACAGTAAATGACAGGGCTAAAACCCTAGCATCCTTCAAGAACTACTGAGAACTACTGATGTTTCTACTGTGTACTTCAGGATATCAGCAGAATCAATCCCGTCATTTACTCCCAGCAGCCCTGAGCAGACTCTTCTGACATGCGATGCTCCATCACAAGATTACTATGCCTGATATAATACAGTAAAGGAAGGCAGATGAAGCTGACTGACAAACAGTTTAGTTGGCTACATTAAAAGTATCCATAACTACTACGCATTACTACAAAAGCTTACGAAGAGGGCTGTATGCAGACCAAGTTTCAATTCAAATATTTGTTTTAAGAAAATTATTTAAATTCATGCCACTTTTAACCCTTTTTTCCTACTTAAATTTAATATGAATGAAAGAAAAATGTCCAACAGGATGTCCATTTTTATACATAGATGCCATCTGGGAGGAAATACTCATCTTGCATAAATCTGCTGCTTTAGTGCAACCTACCTTTTACTATTAACTCCGCATAATTCGAAACTCCAGATCCACCATCTGAACGAATGACACATCGGTACTTGCTAATACTGCGTTGAGAGGTGTCAGCTACGCTGACAGTAGCAGAAAAACGTCTATGGTTGACCACTCGAGTGACCATTAATGCTGTGTCCCTTCCATTCCACTGCTGTAAAGGCAGACAAAAATAACGCAAGTTATGAAGACACACAGATTATGCATCCATGTGTAATTCATTCTTTGTTCTGCTACTTAACATTGTTCAGACCCTCGCGTTCACGTCACTAGGTTAGATATTATACAAGCACAATTTTTCAAGAAAAGACTGCTATAGCTGCACCCCTGAAAAATTTACAGGGTTGTATGAACTAGGGCTTAAATGTTCTTACACATACATCTAAGTTTTCACATCTACTTAAATTTTTGAAACATATTTAGGCATTTGATGTGTTATATATCCTGAAAAGGCTGGAGAGTGACAGTTCAGACTATGCAATTGTACACAGTATATTTAGAGGCATGGTTAGGATATGAAAATGAATGGATTTTGTATACCTAGGAAAACACTACAAGTGAACAGATTTTATAAATTTGGCATTTTCCGATGTAAAACTTCGATTTTGAACCAATCTAAATAAATTGGTTGGATGAGCAGACATCCTTATATGTCTAACATTCCTCAATAAACCTCTCTACTAATGCCAGACTACATTTTCCCCAACTGAAAAAGGCACAGCTGAAGAATTAGCTAGTTCTCCACAGCATAAACACCTGAACTTGCTCAGTTGGCGTAGTTTATTAGGAGTTTCAAAGGAAAACACACTGCTGTTTTGCCGATTTCCAGTAACCAGTTTTTGGGGGTGTTTCCAAGGCCATTTTCATTAAATGTTTCAATTTTGGAGAATGGAAAACAGGTTTCCACTAGCAACAATAACGATTTCCTCCCAAACCCCTGCTTCTCACAGGAAAAGGTTCATACTGCTTTAAGTCAGAAGTGTTTGTACACACATCTAGTCATAACTGTGGAAAGATTTCACTGAAAGAACTCAAAAAAGATAAAGAATAAGCCAAAAATATATCTCAGTGGATGCTAAAAGTACACCACAGGTTAATAAATTCCAGATAAAAATGTAATTTTTTAGGAGAACAGCTGTGATTAGAGTACAATTAAAGTGACTGTCAAGTCATTTTTACATGATGCTGACTACATTTCTCACCAACTCAAGCCTTTTTCTCAATACTAATTTTCATTTTTATGATTAGGTAAACTGACTCCTCCCCTATTATTTAAACTAGATTTGAAATTGGTATTCTTAAAGTTTATTAAAACATCTGAAGTCAATAAAAAAGTTTGAGAAAAATCTGTTAATTATTTGACTACAAATGCCATAGCAATCATGACAAAGGCCATTCTTGTCTGCCTCAGATGTTACAAATATGGGGTGGTCAGGCCCTCAGTCCCATCAGCCCAAGCTGAGAATAAAAACTGTTGACTGTCTTAAACATTCTGAAAGTTCACGTTGGCCCTATGTACATGCACAGTACAGATAGCAAGAGGATCCTCTTGTTTGGGATCTTAGGTGTTTAATGGCACAGAAGTTTAGAAGAAGCAAAGAGCTCTAGTCTTTTAAAAGCTTCTAGAAGAGTTCTATGTATAGAGCATGGTAATGCTGGGACTCCACATATCTTGAGCACTTCAAAGGCCAGAAGAAATAATTTTGTCCTTCACTGGGAAACATGTGCTCCACATCTTCTGTTTGATATATGTTCCTTTTCTAACTCTAGAACCGAAAATGAGTTCTTCATATTGTTACTATACCCACCTGAACAGCATAACCCAGTCTTTCAAGACCAGCCAGTAGGGTGAAAATATAGACGTTAAGAGAGGGAATGTTTTGGTCTTCTAGTGAGTGACTTAAAGAAACAATTTGCTACCAATGCAGCCAAGGGAAACTGGGAGGAAGAAAAACATTGGGTACAAATTGGTTTTGCCTGTTTTCACCATTCAGGTAGTTATCTCAGACCTTAGAGTAGGTTTCCTTCTTAACATATTGCCACTGACTCTGGGCTGAGGACATTTTTCGAGGGTGAGAGGAAAGAAGATGGCATAATTAAGCAGAAGTGAAGAACTATTCCACTTTTTCTGTCTCTTCTGCTTTATGACTGAGTGCTTACAGGTGCATGCGCATTTGTTTGAAACCAAAATTTTGCTGTCACTGGCCATTTATTCCATTTTCTGTATCATCATTCTGTAGTTTGTCACCTTAAACTCTCACCTAAAAGCAATTTAAGGCAGTTCGCAAAGGATCTTGATGAAAAGATTTCGTCCCACCACCCAGTCTTTTTCTATCTACTTATTTTACTTGAAACAAGTTTAAAAAAAAAAACAACAACAAAAAAACAAACAAAAAAAATGAAACCAAACCAAAAAAAACACCACAGGCATTACTTTACCTGGAGCCAGAGCTTGTCATGCTGTGACCACTTCCCCCCAGCAATGCACTGGAATGTCGCGTTCTGTCCCACATTAACCTCCACGTTCTGAAGTCGTAGGAAATGAGGTGCTTTTCCTAACAAAAGATGGAAAGTATTGCAAGGGTAGGGCAAGGAAGTAATTGACTGTGTTACACCAACACAGACATAAACACTCAGCAAAGCATTAGGGCCTATCCTTGTCAAAGTGATTTTGCAAAATAAAGCTGTCCTTCAGTATTTAACTATTCACTGCAGAGTGAGGTGGACGATGCATCTGACAGAGGATGGCCTAAGCGATCATTCAGAGCTCTGGCACATCTAAAGACAGGCTTAGATCAGATAACAACACAAGTTCATGGCCATCAGCACAATTTCTTACTGTTTGCTATATAGAGTAATCAAGTAGTTTCTTTTCTTCAGAAAACTGTGTTTCTAAAAAGGTCAAAAAAAAAATCAAATGGTTCTGAGCTTGTATGACTGACCCAAACCAAATTTTCACAAGGGTCTTTTTTTCCTTTGTATTTTATTGACTATCAAATACATCCTAGGCCTTTAGAATAATAATGTGTCATTAATATCAAATGAGATATTAAATGAAATATTCATATAACTGACAGCATTGTATCACTGTATTAGTTTGAGATCACTGATATCAGTGTTTTGCTGATACTAAGTTCAGTATTAATTCAATATTAAACCACTGATATTAGGATGCAGACTTTGCATTTGTTCATGAAGGAACTAGATCAGAGAATTATCTTTTTGACTAAATACCAGACTCATTTACCTCTAAATTAACTCACAAGAAAACAAAAAGGATTACAGAAGTGAATCTGACACTTTTAAATGAAATTAGTTCTTGCTGGCCTTCAGAAAGATTGTGCACCATTTGAAAACTTTTAGTAGGACACACTGGAGAGCCTTATGAGACTCTAAAGGTCAGAGTTTTTCAACTTCATCTTTACATTTTCTAATATGATTAGACACTGATGAAATACGTAATTTCAGAGAACATACCAACCCATCTTTTTCTATTAAATCAAATAGCTTCAAAAGGATGTGGGCACCTGTGTCTGCGTGTGCATGAAGCACACACTATACTACTGTAGATACATGAACAGAGAACACATGCCCATACACTATGCCAAATGTTTTTATCTAGCTTCTGTATCGCATTCACCACATGCTCAGTTTGCTGACAGCTCCTGAAAGAGAGTGACTCCGTACCATCGTGCTTTCTGGGGATCAGTAGTTTCTGTCAAAGTTTACTGGAAAACAATCTCTGGGTGACAGTCAGAATGTACTACGTGATGTCTGCAGGCTAATACCACTAATTTCTGCCTGCAGCATAAGGTGGGCAGATACAAGCCAGCTCCAAACACGAAGCTGTGTAGCCTGGGTGAGCGCAGTCACACCAACACCAAACTCCCAGTCCTCAGGTCTGCCCAGCTTCCAGAGCGTTGGGCTGTCCTGTGATTGCAAGTGCTCACGCACACACAGTCAATGAGCTTTTAGCATAATTAAAATTGATACTCCAGTGCCTTCCTTCACAGGACAAAAAAAAAGGCAACACCAGGAAGATTTTTTTTTTCTCCATTACTGTGTCATTAGGGGCATTTCACTGTGTTTTTGCTGATACTTAGGTTTGTCTGCTATACTGTCATCTATGAAGGTAAAGTAGAAATGAAGAAATAACACCAATAATTTCGGTAACCTCCAGGTTCATCACGAGCTTCATGGTCCCTGTGTTTCCAGTTCTAACAATTGTAAAATGAATATGAGGGGCAAAGCCTGTACAAGTCAATGGAACACATTCTGGTGACATTTACCCTGGTGGCTGTTATCGCTCAACAACAAAAGCAACACTGGGAATCAGACAGGAAAAGCATTTACAAAGACTGCAGAGACCTTGCAGCTTGTAATGAGTTCTCTATGCTGCAGGTTGCAAACTGATTCAAAATGGAGTAGTGAACTGTTTGAATCATTTCAGTTTTGAGTCACCAAGAATGCACTTAATTTTCAAGAAGGACCTGAATATACTTGGAGAAATTAATTTAAAATCAGTTTAAATACTTGATTAAGCAGGGGTGTAGCACAGCATCCCGTCTCTCTTTTTTAAATCCCACAACTTTCTTGCCTAGGCTTTGCCCCATAGTTTGTTCAGCGGCCTCTTTCCCAGTAAAGGGATCAGTCGTCACCCAACATGCTGTGGAACACACACAGACCATTTGGGGGATTTGTTTGGATGCTGCTAGTTATCAGCAACATCTGGTTAATACAGATTGTAAGTATTTCTTAATGAAGTAAATGCACCCAAAGGCCTGAGCAATGAGCACATGGTAAATACAAATATAATTTAGTTAAATAGCAATTAACCATACTGCAGTTATCAGAAATGTCCTGTTAAACTTGAGCAGAACCATGTCTGTCACATTGAATGGCAGCTATGCTTTGAAATTCCGTACTGCAAGAAAACCAGTTGATTTCACTCCATCAATATGACCCATGATTTTTTTTGTGAGCAGCTGTCACTGACTTACTAAAATTATGAACTAGTGAGAGGGGCTGTTAAAAAAACACATTTAGAAGAAACTGTATACTACATATACAATATAGACACACAAAGTCCTCAAGCTACGCTGCAGATGCATAGGGAAACCAAACAAGTTCAGACTCAAACATTAAGGCTCAAGGTTTCTTTAAATTGGAAAAAAAAAAAAAAATCTAAGCTTATTATGGCTCTGATAGAAGAAACACAGCACTAATATTTTTGAACAGTGTAATAAACCTGTATTAGTTTCTGCTCCTGTGCAACTGTATTGTCTGAATGAGATTTATTTTTCATATCTTTACGGGGGTGCTGAGTAGGTTTAACATTTGTTGAGAGAGAGAGACCTTTGGGATATGTCCTTTACCAAGGAAATACTGAAACAATTTGTTTGTTTCTTCTTTTCTTAAGCTAACCACACAGGATATTATGAGAAGCTTTTTAGATTGTTTTCTACAGCAGCATGATTCAGAAATAATAAAACAATCAGTTTTATATTCTCTCAACAAGAGAGGAAGAGAGACTTCCACAGATGTCCTGATGCTAGCTATAGACTGAGAGCAGATTTGCCTTTTGCAAAACTTGAAAAGGTATGTAATTATGCAAGGCTGATAGTCTTTAGGTGTCTCAGAGGGATACAAGAAGACATTTTAGTGCTGACCAAATTGGGCAAATCACTCCTTTAGAGTGCAAAGCCTGGTATATAACACATTGATACACTTAGAAAAACAAAGAGTGCTCACTGCATGGATGGGCGAGAACTCTGACTTCATCCACAGCTATGTACCCTGGATGTCCTTTCAAAGAGACAGATTCAAATATCACCTGAAACACAAAATAAGAAAAAGTTTTCTTAAAAAGAATACCTACACTCGTCATTTGGCCAGTCACCATATTCTGCTCTTATTCCAATGTCCGAGTCATTAAAGGCATTTCATCATTAATAATGAAGGGATAGCAAGGCAATTCAGCACATACATGCATACCAAAATGAAAATCTGTTTGATATGGAAAACAAAAAATTAGAGCAACATTCATTAGGAGTAGAAATAACTATGTGCTTCTCTCATTTGGAAGAGCAAAAAATACCCTGTGTATATACACACCTATATTCACTTTAAGCACCGGGCCAAGAACAGCATGCGGATAATCATTTGACACCTTGTTCTTAGTATGCCTCAGAAAGTTTGAGAATGCTGCACATGAGATAAAATTCTCTTATTGAATCAATAACCCTGCATGGATTCTTCTGGAGAAAACCTTGATTTGGCATGCATGTGGTTGCAGTATTAGAAAGGAAATTGCAAGCAACAAATGACCCTGGATTCTAGTCACTAGACTGTAATAAGATTCTCCCAGATATAATAAAGTTGTTCCTGCTTTTCCCTGGATTGAACTAACATGGTCTGAAAACACGTATTCTTAAAAACTACATGTGGTATTTCTCTACATTAATAGTACACTAACTAGCACTTTCTATTTTATTTATGTATCTGGATAACGAAAGTGTTCCACTAATTTGGGTCTGAATAGACAGATATTCAATTACAGATGAACAAAAAATCTCATTCTTCCCTATGGCTTTGTGATTTTACGTAGAAAACTGCCCTGATCTGAAGTATCCTGTTACTATAAATATATAGGCTATCTGAAAATTGGAGGTACAGGGAAAAAACAAAAACAAAAACCAACCCAAACCTAAAAGACCTGATAAAGGGATCATTAAAACTAGGTTAACTACTGCCAAATAAGCTAACTAAAAATTTAGGAGAAAATGGTATTAAATACAATGCATTTTGCCCAACAATTAAAGGACAGTAGGACACGCGTTGTAGCCTGTGCCCTCATTGCAGTCTACACCTTCCTCAAGCGGGAAGGTGCTGATCTCCTCTCACTGGTGACCAGCAACAGGACATGAGAAAATGGACTGGGGCTGTGGCAGGGGAAGTTCAGACTGGGAAATTAGTTCATTAGGAAAAGGTTCTTCACTGAGTGGGTGGTCAGTCCCTGGAACAGGCTCCCCAAGGAAGTGGTCAAAGCGCCAAGCCTGTCAGAGTTCACAGAGCGTCTGGACGATGCTCTTCATCATATGGTTTAGTTTTAGGTAGTCCTGTGAGGAGCAGGGAGTTGGACTCAACGATCCTTATGGGTCCCTTCCAACTTAAGATATTCTATGATTCTATGAGGAACAAGAAATGTTAAAGTGCAGTAGAAAAAACTAAAATGCAGACTGATTACTTAACATCTTGGTAATGCTACCTCTCAAGTTAGTGATTCTCTTCCCAAAGGAATGAAGTGCTACCCTTCACTGTTTAAAAAAAACCAAACATGAATGGATGGAAGTGTAATGGATGCTGTCCTCTGCATTTGAAAGGGATGTCCCCTGTTTCCTTCCCTCTTACTAAACTAATGTTCACACTGTTTAAAATTGCTCATTTTTGCATGAGAATACAATAATGTTTTCAAGGACAGAGTTAATTAACATGTTCAGCTGGCACAGTTATTACTGTTAGAGGGGTATTCTAGTTCAGCTACTTGTTTTGTTAGAGAAAGTATTTCAGTAATTTGTAACCTCTAAAATTCATTACTAGAACACAAAGTTAACTACTTAAGGCCAGTTTTCAACACTTATTTTCATTCTAAATAAAAGCTGGTATTCCCGGTCTGTCACTGTTTAGTCTCCTCTTCATCTCCTTCATCAGAAGATTTAATACAATACAAGATTCAGCTGTCCAAATGCTGAACACTGTGTGCCCCCCTGGCTATCAAAGTAGACCAGTATGTCCTTCGTAAGTACAGAATTGCTGTTAATCATTTTGCTTTGCATTTGGGCTTCCAGAATGTAGTTTCTACTCATGTTTCCATGACTTCCTAAGATCTGCTGTCCCAATTCAAAACACATCCAAATGTGAGAACTTCTGAAATAAGTCCATTAGAAAAAAAGACATGATAAAAACAAGTAGAACACAAAAGTTAACAGGCAAAGATATAAACTAAGAAAAGCTCAGGCACTAACAATATTTAGAAACAAAGTTCTACTCCAGAGGAGGGTGGACAGAAAACAGGCTGTCCAAGGAGCAATAGGAAGAAGCAAGTCTCTGGAAGATAAAATAATCCAATAAACATCAACAAGCATATGGTGTTATCAAGGTTTTTGATAGATTTTTAGGGACTGTATAAAATAAGACTATAATACAAGTCCTTAGTATGGAAGTTATAATTTTTTTTAGAAATGAAATGTCATTCATGATATAAGTTACACTTACTATAAAAGACATGTAAGAAAGTACTGCAACTCCCTTCAGACTTGAATTAAAGTGCAACATTTCAGCTACAAAATCTCAACTAATTCTCAAACTAATTCTCAATTTCCTGCAAGCCAAGAACTTGGAAAGAAAAGTTCTCCAAGGCATTGGCATTAGCTATTAGTGCGTGGCAAAAGTAAGCACCGATACATAGAGAACTGTCTTCTGTTAATTACCAACACATACAGAGTCTTTAATACAGCACAATATAACTTAAGCTGGTAACAACCGACTCAGCTCCTAAAAAACCTAGGCACACTGGTGCAGAATCCACTGAGAAGAGTGGAGGATTCCTCTCAATTCACACAATACTGTTTTGACAGAGTATTTTATTATCTGTTCTGCTTTACAGTCAGATATTCTTGTTATTTCCCAGTTCAAACTTCCTCATTGTTGTATTTTACTGTATTTTGCAGCATCTCAGCCCTATCAAAGCGAGAAGGCCAGAAGCACACAGTTTTTCCTGAAAACAGGGGATTGAGACCCAACACAAGGAAAATGCAGGAATCCGTGCTTACGGGACCCGGTTCTGCAAATTTCGCTACATCTCTCTCATGTCCTTTTAACTTCAGTCAGAAATGTAGTATAATGGTTGAGACATAAGCATTTAACAATGCTTTACATTTAAGGAGCTTCTCAGAAATTAATACAGATGACAAAATGCAAAGCTTTACTCTTAAAAAACATTCTTAAATGCTCCTGAGAACAGAAAATACCAAGTCATTTCATGTTTCCTTACCAATAAACAATCCTACATTTCACTGCTGCTATGTACCAATGACGTCTGTGTTAGCAATGTAGCCTGGCTCATCCGTTGTGGTACAACAGTTTTCTTCAGGCATGGATCAATAACGTTCCTTGCTATACATCAAAAAAACTCTCCCTGGCAGACTCTAGTGCTGCCCTTGGTGCATTCTGGGACGAAGTTCATCCTTATGGCAAGCAGTAATTCAAGATTACATGTATTACCTTTCCCCAAGAACTATTACGGCTTTTTCTCACTACACTAAAAAAACATTTGCAGGCCGGGAATCCAAGTACGAGTTACTCTAGGGTAGACGTTATAAATCTCCACCATCCCCACGTTTATATGTCAGCAGAGTGCTTTTGGATCCAGGTGACTCATATGACCCTTGCACAGAACTGTCAGACCTAAAACACGACCTCTGGCACTTGGCTTGGTTACTAGTTTTCCACTAGTCACGTCTCCAAAGCTCAAAGTACTTGTCGAAGCCTCAGACTCCGGGCAGATAGTTTCAGATTTTTTTTTTGCCTGACTGAATTTTTGATACACACTGCAATTCAAGATGGTGTGGTTTCTGTGCATTAAGAGAATAATCCACATTTTGCCTCACGTAGACTTCATTTATTGAGGAAAAATGCTATTTTTTCCTGTGTTACCTGGTGCTTTTGAAATACAGAACATGCTTTCAGGCCTCTTGCATACAAAGAGTTCTCCGGGCATGCAATTTTGATTTAAAGCTGACAAATAACAGTCTGATGGCACATCCTAGATTGTGAGTGTGAAATGAGACACTCCCTAGGCAACAGTACACCCAAGCTTTTGTCATCCTGTCACCTCTGGGCTCCTTGAGTGAGAAGTGTTACTTTAGGCTGCCAAATAACAATAATTTTGTCTAAGTCCTTCATTGTGTGTTCCTCTTCACTTTTGCAAGTTTAAAGTTTTCTTTTTCTTCTCTTTTTTTTTTTTTTTTTTGTAAAAACCTTGATTAAATGTAGAGGATTACAGACCATCAACAGAAGATGGTTTATAAAATCAGGGATTGATAATAGATCAGTCTCTTAAACTCCCATAATAGTGGGACAGATCTCAGATTTCAAAAGCCACACTTAAGGAATAAGAATACAAATATAAGCAGAAGGAAGCATCACCCGCATCCATTAAAAAGTAAAAAAGAAAAGCCTTGCATTTTCTAGGAAGGAACTATTCCTAGGCAGTTACTGCTGGCTTCCAATCTGTTCATTTTTGTGCTGCAGTGAAAAAATCTTGTTTGATTTAAAGGATTTTTTTGCTCAGGAAAAACAAACTTGACCTGCAAAAGGACTTGCAAAAGAAGTAAGTAAGGCTCAGGAAGTCATCTATTGGTATTTCCAGAGTAGGATCTCTCCTAGTGTGAGACCAGACTGCCTTTTCCAGCTTTTTCAAGCACTGATTATCTAGGTGAAAGGTCATTTGTTATCTCTGTGAAGCACCTACTAAAGCAAAATTTTGGTTCATGACCAGGTTCATGTTAATATGAATGGAGTATAAGCACTTTCATATGACTTCAGAACAAGTGACAAGTTGTGCACAGCCCTTAAAACACCACTTTCCACGCATTTGCATCTCTTTATCCCTTCCTCTCACCCTGCATAGTGTGCTCTATGCACTCTGCCGATATCCCCAACTCTTTTTCAGAGGCAGAACATTAAAGCATTCTACTTCAGCTCAGATTTTATAGACCTCCTACCCAGTTATTAGAAGCAAAAAAGGAAAAAAATCAGCAAGCTTTTCTACTTGCTGCTTTCTATCCACAGACTATTTGCTGCCTTTTCATAGTTTATTCTATCATAATTTCTATCTCACTCGTGTCTTTTATTAGTATCATATGTACATCAGCTTTCCCTGCAAGGTTTATGGTGCAATTACCTCCCAGGCTTTTTTTTTTTTGTCTTGAATATAAAACAAGACAAAAACATGCCTTCAACACCTAACAAGAAGTATGTGAGTCTATTGCATGCGAGCTTACCTAATTAAAACTAAAACAATGACTGCAAAGTTGCCACATGAAGTTTTAAGCGGACAACTAATAAGTAGCTGCAAAATTAATACAACCAAAAAGCAGCTTACCCATTACATTCCTCAACTTTGTGCTTGTTTTAAAAAACACAAATCTTCTAACAGAGCAAGTAAAACTATGTTACTAGCAGTGCTAAAAAGAGGAGGAATGGAGGATATGGTGAAGAGTATACTCACGTTGATAACAGGGCACAAGATTTTATTAGTAGCTTATGTACTTAGACGCCTCATATGGGCACAGGAAAAGTCCAGATGCAAAGCTGAATGAACAAATGTTTCTTCTTATGGAACCAACCAAGGGCCAAAAATAGTTCAGGCAAATTTATGTACAGATACAGTTACACATCTAGACACCCAGTTTAATTTACATTTACATAGTGCCATGGAAAGTGCCAATACAAGGCTGTTTATGTGCTAATTTCATGATAAACAAGTGGGTCTTAACTTGCCAATAATTTGACTCCCAGCAGTCTATCCATCACTCCGTGACCTGACAACAACTGAAGGAAAAGGGTGAAACAGGAAGAAATATGCCAAGATGCCTATATAACCCTCTCGCTATAAAAATGGTATACGTAAACTCATTCTGATAGGAAAAATTCGTGGGGCAAGGGGGGAATTAGATTTTCAGAATGCCTATTGCTAACAATAGCTTAGCTCATTCCTAGCCAAACATTCAAAGGAAAAAGAGAGAAAAATATTATAAACTCCTACCTGATAAAAATGTGGCCAAAACGTACTGATGGCAAGTTCTGCTTTCACCCATCCTTCTGTAACAACCCCTGAGACATTCCATATGGGATTGCCCTGTGGTCCTCCATTCACCTTCACGTAGACGTTCAGCGAGCCAGGACTCGAATGGTCTCTGCTGGATAAGTAATAGTGGAAGTCGATGCAATGCGTGTCATTTTCCTTCAGCGTAGGCAACAGCAAGTGAGCTTTCTGCCCAGATGCCCGCCCGGAGCTGTTCACCATCATGAAGGAGCCTACAGAGGAAAGCAAAAAGAGAAGAAAGAGTGGTTTTGCTTGGCTTTTTCAATAAAAACATTTCTAATAGAAAAGTCAGTGATACCCTTAGAAGCCAGAAAACAAAATATTCATCTGAAGAACTCAAACTAGCTATTTAATGCTTGTTGTTAGGTAACAGAAAGAAAGGATATTAAAAATTGCCAGGTATATACACAAACAGATTCAGGGCCAACTAGAACCACTTTAACTAGGTAACTTAAAAAATCAAAATAAAAACACTATTTTGCTTTTATTATTTTATAACCTTGTGATAAAACAGTCACTTAAAACAAAAGCACATTCACACTTCAAGCAGCAACGAGGCCCTCCTACCGCATACAGTCCCTCAAAGGCACATTCAATACAAAAACTACAACAATGGACCAAATTCTCAGCTGATGCTTACCTACATGGCCCCTACCCACTTTGTGCCAATCCATACCTGTGAACCCTGCATCTTGGCACTATAAACTTTTGAAGGTTGTAATGTGTGAAGAAAACCCCCTATTTTCAGAGTCCAAATGAATTAGGCTTGCTAGCATAACAGCAGCATCTCAACTAGAAACAATGCAACAAGGACGATTACTCTTCTAGGAGGGAAGGACAGTCTGAATGTAGGGAGGGAAATATATACACTAAAGGCAATTTATGAGTTTGTTAACCTGGAAGCTTGCATCATATTAACCATGGCACTTGATGTTGAACTCGCATTTTGATTCATCAAGCAGTTATTTTACAGCACATTGTGTCTCAAGTCATCTCTTCACAGATGCATCAAGGTGACAAATGTTAGCAATAAGGAAAAACATTATGAGAGTTATTTGATTCAATTCTGTTTAAAGGATCTCCTTTATGTGTGTGCAGACACTCACACTCAGAAAAAGCTGAAGAAAATACTAAGATTGGGGGACAAAAAAGCTGTGTGTCAGCAGCCAGGCATGATAATTTTTAATCAAATGCAGCCCTCTTGACGCTCTCCATTCCGATGCTGCTGCCAAGGCATGCCACAAATGTATTTCTCTGCTGGCCTCTTGCAGTTCACAGAAGATTGAGTTTGAAAAGCCTTGCCTCACTTCTAACCTATTGACTTTCCCCTATTCCGTGCCATAGCAATGTGACACTCGGATGAGCCAGATAAACATTTTGATCAATTCTGTGCAGTGAACAGCCATATATTCTAAATTTATATCAACAGATACCGGCACCTTTCTCCCACAAAAATGTTTTTTCCCTGTGTTTATATGATATATATGCATTTTGTAAAGGATTGAAAAGCATGGACACAGAAGGAAGTCAAGCTTTTGAAAAAAAATCACACATTCTAGAGACCTTGTAAAATTCCAGCACAATGCAAGCACAGCTGGGGAAGATGCTGTACTAAGAAATAAGAAAATTTATAGGCATGATGCTCTCTGGCAATCCTATCTTTCATTTTCATATGCTGAAAATCAAAATGGCCCCAAATCAAGAAATTCCAGATTCATAGCAAGGAAACACAAGAGCTGAATCCAAACTTTTCAATTTCTCTCTAATAATCAAAGTCCATTAAGATGGGATCCCGACAAATGCTCACTGTTGATCTAATTCTGCTCCCAGTAAACCACAAAATCCCCTTCTTCACCAAGTACTGTATACATACTATTCTTAAAAATCCACCCAAATAAGCTAAAGTCTTGAGAAACTGAGATTTGGATTCTATTGCTATGACCTAGGATAATTTATTACCAGAAAGCACAATTGCCAACAGGCTTGAAGAGGCAGCACAGCCTGACAGCTAAGGCAGCAGGCTGGAAACCTGACAGCCTGGTTTCTAAGACTAATTATGACACTCACTTCCCTGACCTCTGTCAGTACACATAGTCTGCCTTATCTTCCCTTACAAATAAAGCAAGAATAGTCACAAGAACTACTCTTCTACTGAGAATTTGGGAGGAAAGCCACTGTAAAACTGCTGAGTAACAGTAGTATACTACAGAGGAGTATAGCAGCTGCTGTGAAATGCACTGCCTGCAGCACTTCAATGCCATTTTGAGAAACAGTACAAGATACCACGAAGACAAGTTCTACATTTGCCAGATCTCGTACTTGAGGATGACGGCACAGTCAATTAAAACACTCGGTAAAGAAAAACAGAGCTCCTGTGCATCCACAAGGTTTTTGACCAAGTGCCTGCTACACCAGGTAGGAACCTAGGAAAACTCATTTTTGCACCGTCTTTGATTAGATCATAGGACACGTCATTTCACTTCTGGGGGCATAATACATGGATTCCTACCCTAAAGAACTACTCTGAAGTTGTACTGTGTCTAACACAATATGGTCTTGAACTGCACTGGGGTAGGTAAGTGTTCCAATGATACAAAAAGTTAGGGAGTATTTCACTTTTACAGATTCATGTATAAAAATAACTAGCTTTCCTCTGGGAGAAAAAACATCGGCTTTTATAAAAAGTTCAAAGCAATAATTACAATTTTATTTTTTGCCACCCACAAAAAAAATGAATCACAAGCTACTCGCTGTATGACAATGGCCTTTTGTGCAACTGCTGACAATGCTAGAGAGAGCACAGAACCTGAATCTAGTGACTGACAACATGAGCAAGCAAAATATCCATCCACCAAAAAGCACATAACAATAACTCGTCTTAGTTACTAAAAGAATAGCCTTACAAACAATTGGCATATGCAAGTTTTCATAGCTTCTTATTTATAGCTTATGATTTTTTTTAATACAGTATGCCTAGAGACACAAGAGAAAACACTCTAAAAATGTGTCTCTAATAAAGTCCTGATATGAGGTATTATTTTATGTGACAGTGGAAAAGATGAGAAATTTCCACTTATAGTACCATCTCTGTCAGAGAAAAGTACTCACACCTTGTTTAAATCAGTTGTCATCTATTAACTACACCGCATTCCTTATCTCTGCAGAGACTCAGTGTGGCAGCTTCCACAACAAACCCTTCCCGGGGCTGGCCAAGGCACGGTGCACAACACCTCAAGCCTGGCCAGTGTAGGGGGTGTAGGGAGTTTTGTCGAGGCTATAATTGACATCAGATACAAGAATACGTCGATTTACGAAATTCAGTTGTGAATAAATTATACCCTGTATTATATAAAATGTCCTCCAAATATACCCATCCGTACACGTTTTAATTTTTTCTTTTCACAGCAGGAACTTCAATGGGTATCCTGTCCTCTAGGGCCTTCAAAAGGTTGCTCTGCATGCTCCAAGATCAACAGCTGAGATCCCCTGTCCTAATATAAATGTCCATGTCCAGTGAAGCTTGTCTGGGCAGGATACATCACTTAGAGGGAGGTGAGAGATCATGAAAATTGCTCCCAACAGAAAAAAAAAAAATTCAAAACAGCCTTTTAAGGACAAGTATTGCTTTCCTTATTATCCTTAATAAAAATAGACATATTGTGATTCAGAGTCTGACAGCCTTCTTTAGACTGAACACAGAATTAAAGCTGATGGGACTTATTCTCAATTTATAGGCCTATATGTGCAAATAAAAGAGATACAATCTGGTCTGGCACCAACAAACCACTTGTACTTTCCACTCATATAAAGAACTAGGGAATGAATTAACATGTCACAAATGGAAATTATTGATCAATGGATGACTGAAAGCCACTTAAATGCCTCCAGGCAAGAATCTGAATAAAACAAAAGGTATCTTGGAGAAACTCTTATTTAGACCATTGCATATCTAATCTCGAAAAATAATAATGGTAGGAAACAAAATCATTTAGCCTCGTTGTTCTGTTTACCTCCATCCAGAAAGTTCAAATGTCAGAAAGTCAACACTGAACTGAAAAAAATGAGTTTGGAGGAAAAAATTCCCTACGCTGTGTAAAAGCTCTTCGTTATATTTACTGGACACAGAAGTATATGCTTATTAAAGCAGACTGAATATCAGGTCCATTAAATTTAGTGCTCTGATCAATAGGTTAGATTAATTAATATCTTGCTGGTTTTGTCCTGAATAACCAAAAATGAATGTTATGTTCAGATCAGTCAGAAGCAATGAGGATGTGAAGACGGTAAATAAATTCATTTTTAAAAATCCGTTCAAACGACAGGAACATAAAACGACACTCTCTCATAGTTATTAAACATACCACTGAAAATTGGGGAATTAAACCATGAAGTGCTCTCTAGCTGGCCATAAATTTCAATTTTTCCCCTGCTTGGTGCATAATGATGCCTTGATAAGCGTCCTATTATTGATGCATCTGCAACATATATCCTCTTTTTGGAGCTGAAATGCTACTCTGTAGCAGATGGTGGCTATTGTGTTTACACATCAGCACTTTATGATTGCATTTTCTCACGTCTGCAGTAAAAAGAAAGCCGTAATTGAGTTTTTAATGGCTTTGCACATTGTTCATTAAGATTACACGAGTGTGTTCTGACAAATGACAGCTGAAGAAATGAGCCACTGAGAACCCCTCGTGATCACCAGACAGACCTCGGTTGATGCTATTTCACTGTTGGCTTTGAAGAACTATGCTGTTTAAAAGTGAAATTATAGCAACCATTAAAGACTGAATGCAAACTTGAAAAGAAAGCTGTCAAAATGCTCAACTGCAAAACGAGACTTCTAAAACCTTGAAAACCAGAATCAGGTACAGAATGTTCTTGTAAAGAGCAAACTCCTTCCCAAAATAAAGGAATGGGTTTCCCAGCAGCTCCATCAGGTACACGAGTATGTTTTGGACACAGTTTTGCTTATTTCCAAAGAACAACTCTATCTCCAACAAGTAAGTCTGACATCTTCCTTGTTAGGGCAGAACAAAGCAACATGGAATAATCTGGGTTGGAAGGGGCCTCAGGCCAAGCTCCTGCTCAAAGCAGGGTCAGCTGCGAGGCCAGATCAGGTTTCTCAGAGCTTTTACCTGCTAAGTCTTACAAACCTCCCAGAAGAACTACCCGTCGCCTCTGGGAAACCTGCTCCATTGCTT